AGTCAGCTGCCGTCGACCATCCCGAAAGTCCAGGACCTGCAGTCCCTGGAGGGGAGACGAAAGAGGTAAGCAAGAATTACTCAAGCCAAATAAAGAAAAGTTAATGGTGACCTTGGGAATCTTAACCATGACCCCTACATAACAGGCAACAAGCAGAGATACCTTTTGACTGTGAGGTTTTTCCTCCTCTGAGGTCTCGTAAAGTTGAGATTACTTGATGCCAGGGCTCTTTTTGTAGAAAAAGCCCAGCAGGAACTCATTAGCATAATAGGCCAAACCCAACACCAGAAACTCATTAGCATATTAGGCCACGCCCCTGCCAGCACAGCTCATTAGCACATTAGGCCGCACCCCCATGTTACCAGAAGTGTGGTCATCCAGCCACACCCACCTTTTGCTTCTTATTCTGTTTACCTTGTTTGTTGTCAAAACCCAGGGCCTTTTTTTTTGTAGCAGGGACTCCTTTGCATGTTAGGCCACACACCCCTACTGTAGCCAATCCTAATGGGTTTCTGCCGTTGGGTGTGGCCTATTATGCTAATGAGTTCCTGCTGGGCGTGGCCAACTTAGGAGCCAGCCGGAACTCCGTTCCTGTGCGTTCCTGCCCAAAGATAGCCCTGGTTGATGCTGTAACCCCACTTGTGGCCACGTCCTCTTGTGACACAGTAATAATTTGTCATCCTGTTCCTGCTCTAACCATGCCAGAATATGGGTGTCTATGCACATTTTAGAAGCATGTCTGAATGCACGTCTAATTGAACGGAAATGGAGTGTGGGCAGATAGCATTCTCAGTTGGACGTGTGTTCAGGAGCCTTTCGAAATGTGTATTCCATTTACCCATGGTTCTCGATACATGCATGTTGGAAGCCTGCATCTGTGCACTGATTTATTGATCTGGAATGGGCTGAGAGGGTATGTATATATATGAACACTCTGTTAATGCATGTGTCCAGGTTGGTTTACTGCTGTGCTATTTGGGTTCTGCTGCTTCAGTGAGTAGACCACAAACCACACATAAATGGTACCCATATAGTACTAGTTACCAAGTCACTTTCCCCAAACACGTAGAGAATGTTCTTGCTAGCCCTGGGCCCTGATAGGGTTTTGGTTGCGACTTGATGGCCTTTTCCACCACCTCTGCCTGAAACTTTGGAAAGCTGCTGCTTTGATGGGCCAGTGGGGTGACTCAGTAGACGGCCGCCCCATGTGTTCTTCACATATCCATTTTATTGCTCAGGTAGGGGCTGCGTGCTGTCACGGAAACCTGCATGAACCAGATGGCGGTATGTTCTCACCAACCAAGAATGGAAATGAATCAGCCCCAGCTACTCCAGCATTTCCATTGTCGGCAGAGACTCCGTATGGTGAGTGAGATGGGAAGGGGAGAAATTTGTATTGGTGGCTCTTTCTTTCTTTCTTTCTTTCTTTCTTTCTTTCTTTCTTTCTTTCTTTCTTTCTTTCTTTCTTTCTTTCTTTCTCTCTCTCTCTCTCTCTCTCTCTCTCTCTCTCTCTCTCTCTCTTTCTTTCTCTCTTTCTCTCTCTCTCTCTCTCTCTCTCCCCCTCCCTCCCTCTCTCCCCTTCCCTCTCCTTTCTTCCTTCCAACTAGTATCCCGCCCTACCCCAGGAATGGGCTCAGCGCGGCTGACAACATAACAAAAACAATAAAAACCCAAGATATAAAAACAGTGAAACAATCAAGCGATTAAAACAAGATGGCATTAAACACGAGTCATCCAACGTTTCATGTGACATTTCAACAGGTAATGGTAGATGGCCTGATTTATAACAGTTTTTAATCAGAGGGTGGGAGGTACCTAAAATACAGGGGCCCATAGATGACAGACAGTGTCTAGAAGGCACTGGGCAGGCACCAAAGGCAGAGGAGGCCGAGTTGGTTTAACATCCTCTGCCTCACCCAAAGGCCTGGCGGAACAGCTCCATCCTACAGGCCCTGCGGAACTGTGTCCCCGATCTCGGGTAGGAGCAGGGCCGGCTCCAGTTTATTTTGCACCCTAGGCGAGGATCCCTTATCCCCCCCCCCCCCCCGCGCCCCCCCAATTTTACAAAAATAAATGCATTTTAGGAAGAATAAAAAACACAAATAATCAAGAAACTCCCAGAGTATGGGGCCGGGTGCAGTTTGGTGCCCCTAAGGGCCATCCCGCTCTAGGCGATCGCCTAGTTCGCCTAGTGAGTGAGCCGGCCCTGGGTAGGAGCATGTTCCACGAGGCCAGGGCCGAAAAAGCTCTGGCCCTGGTTGAGGCTAAGCGGATGTCTCTTGGGCCGGGGATTACCAGGAGGTGTTGATCTACGGAGCGCAAGGCTCTCCGGGGCACACATGGGGAGAGGCAGTCCCGCAGATATGCTGGTCCCAGGCCGTGTGGGGCTTTAAACGTCAGCATCATAACCTTGAATCAGATTCAATATTCAATTGGCAGCCAGTGCAGTCAGCGAAGCACTGGCTAGATGTGCGCTCACAGAGGCATCGCTGCCAGCAGACACACCGCTGCATTCTGCACTAGGTGCAGTTTCTATTGGGTGTTGTAAATAAGAAGCGGGAGACTGACCGGTTATGAAGTGCACAGAGAGTTTATATAGTTATAAAGGTGAATATATACAGAGATATATACAGGCTATCGTACAGCATGTCGTGCCTTAGTTTATGAGAACTAAGTCCGCCTCAGCTTACTACGCTGATAGCTATTATGCTAAACCCCAGCCAATCTCTAACAGGGTGATGCAATCACTAACTCTAACAAGCCCTGAAGAGTAACACCTGCTAGAAAACACCTGGCTGTAATTACATCATTACTAGCGTGACAGCTAGGTCTGACAAACAGATCAAACTGATCTATAGTAACTGCTTGCTACCTCTATCACTCTGACATATATCTCAATAGTTTCCGGATCAGGTAGTTCCACATAGAGCAATGTTAATGTTAATAGCAAAAAAAGGGTTCATTTCCTTTCCTCCTTTTACAGTGAAAACTCCCCTGCATTTCCAGCAACTGAATCCGTCTGGCAGTCAGAGCTGCGTCTCGTCAGAGATGTATAGGACTACTCATGGTAAGTGCTTTTGTTAGAGCAAAATACAGCCAAAGGTAAAAGGCCTCATTTTGTAGGTTTCATTATACACTGTCTTCATTAAATGCTAAAAAAAATGGCATCACTAACCTTTGTCAGCTCACGAATAGAGAATTTACATCCCCTTGCAGCTTAATTTGACCGGAATCCCCAGAGGCATGACTTTCTTTCCAACTTCAGCTTCCCAGGTTGCATCAGGAAAGGGAACTTTCTAGATCAGGGTTTCTCTCTTCCCCCCCTCCCCCCCAGTTTTTTGTTTGTTTTGGTAGGCTGCAGTAGAAAGAAAATCCTTGGGTGGACACAAATGTACCTAACAGTATCAGTGTGGCCCTTTTCAAACATCAAAAGCCAATTCAGAAGGGTGAGCTGGGGATGGTGGGTAGGTGTTTAACCCATTCCTTGCCATTGTTAACACACGCACACACACACCAGCTACCAGCTCCCCCCACTGTGAGATACACATAGGAGGGGGAAGTGATTGTGCGTGGGGACTGGGCAGGAAGCCATCTTGATTGTTCTTCCAGAAGCATCTTTTGCTAAAGAGTGCTGCTGCGGCCATGTTACGTATATCTACGTGTAACATTTAGTTTGCGCCTCAGAAATCCTGGCGTGCGCTTGGAACATTTACCCAGTGACCTTTTTTTTGGATTCTAGTTTATAAACTTCCCTGTGGGGGAAAAAAACTGCCTATAATAGTATGAAAAAATGGTGTTCGAAGTAGTAAATATAGTGCGGAGCTTGCGGAATAGGAAACCGTGTGTGTAAAGTGCCGGTAAGTCACAGTGGACTAACAGCTACCCTGTAGGTTTTCCAAGACAAAAGATGAACGGAGGTGGTCTGCCATGGCCTGCCTCTGCAAAGCAACCTTGGACTTCCTTGGTGATCTGCCATCCAAGTACTAACCAGGACTTCCTTAGTTGTCTCCCATCTGAGTACTAGAATCATAGAACCACCGAGCTGGAAGGGGCCCTAAAGGCCATCTAGTCCAGCCCCCTGCTCAATGCAGGACCAGCCTAGAACATCCCTGACAAGGGTTTGTTCAGCCACTGCCTAAAGATGGCCAATGAGGGGGAGCCCACCCCCTCCCCAGGCAGCCGATTCCACTGTTGCACAACTCTGACTGTAAAAATGTTTTTCCTGCTATCCAGCCCTTCATTTAAACCCATTCTTACGACGCAATGTTCCCTCTAAGCTGTGGAGTCTTGTGAGCAAAAATTCTATTTTGTGAGTTAACTGGCATTAAAGTTGCGAGCGAACGATTTGGCTGCTGCATAAATCAGTTTGCTCCAGAGCCGTCCTTCCTGAGCTGGAGGCTAAAATGTGAAAATGTGTGAGCCGGAGGCTAAAAAGCTGTGAGCTGGCTCACGCTAACTCAGCTTAGAGGGAACACTGCTTACGGGTCCTCTCCCCTGCTGCCTACAGGAACAGCTCCCTGCCCTCCTCTAAGGGACGGCCCTTCGAAGACTCCAAGAGGGCAATCCTGTCCCCCTTCCGCCTCCTCTTCTCCAGACTGAACATTCCCAAGTCCCTCAGCCTCTCCTCATAGGGCTTGGCCTAATTAGGGCTGACCCTGCTTAGCTCCCGGGATCTGATGTGATCAGGGTAGCCCGGTCCAGCATAGGAAACGTATAGGAAAACGTTAAAGGATTGATCAGGGTAGCCCGGTCCAGCGTAGGAAACGTATAGGAAAACGTTAAAGGATCAGGTGGTATCATCCAGTTCCGCTAGAGATAAAGGATAGACAGTCCCTGGCACTAGGCGTGACTCCCTGTTGACTTGACCATGGTAGAGACAATTCCATTAGCGAATGTTCCACTGCTCACCCTAGAATCGGCGAGCCATCTGGAAGAGAGGACACTCGTGTAAAAAAGAGAGGGCATCGTTGGCATGGGTTGCCATAGCGGAAGGCCTGAGCCTTCCTTATTTAGTCTGCTGATTTAATAAATCATCGTCTTGGCCGGAGCCCATAGCGGCCCACCCTTAAACCGTCTGTTTATAATAAACATATAAGCAAAAGAGGGTTTTTGTTTTTTTTAACAAACCAAAAGAAAAAGAGAGAACAAGCAAGGATGTCTTGTATATTGGCAAAATTGGATGGTTTGGGTACCTTGAGAGCGAGTGGTGATAAGGGGCAGGTAAATACAGAGAGGCTTCACGCCCATGCCAGCAGCACAGGCCTCCACCTGGGGATTTTCCATCATATTGCGTGTATTTGCAGAACTTATCGAGTATTTTCCTTACTCACTGATAAACGAGAGGCCATCTGGCTGTTCTCTTGCTTCTGAGCAGATGCTGCCGTCAGATATTTTCCCCTGCGTTCGTGGAATTTTAATAAGTGCATGGAAGGAAACTCTCTAGGAAGGGAGGAACTGTAGATTTTTTTTTTTAATTACTCTGTGTATGCACTAATTTCTTAAATTTCTTTTGTGAGCTTGGTTTCTCTACCTGCTCTATCCCATGCATAATCTTATAAACCTTGATCATGTCACCCCTCACCGATCATGTTTTTTCCACCTTTTGCTGTTGGTTGCCAGATGGAACCTCCAAGGTGAAAGAGACCGTGTCCTGCCAGTCCACTTAGCTAAGTCAGAACTCTTCCTCTCACCTAAAGAGACTTCTGCCAATGGACAAAGCTCCTTAGGCTGGTAAAGGTAAAGGTTCCCTTGCTCGAAAGCCAGTCGAGTCCGACTCTAGGGTTGCGGTGCTCATCTCCATTTCAAAGCCGAAGAGCCAGCGCTGTCCGAAGACGTTTCCGTGGTTATGTGGCCGGCATAACTAAACACCAAGGTGCACGGAACGCTGTTCCCTTCCCACCGAAGTGGTACCTATTTATCTACTTGCAATTTCTTGCTTTCGAACGGCTAGGTTGTCAGGAGCTGGAACTAGAGACGGGAGCTCACTCCGTCATGCGGCACACTCGGGTCTCGAACTGCTGAACTACCGACCTTCCACAGCCTGCAGTTCAGCATCTTAACCACTTGAGCCACCGCAGCTCCTTAGACTGGAGGAAGGCTTAAAATATGGCCGAGTGCCGTTGCGGGGCCCGAGCCAATAATCTGTCGCGTTAAGTCAAGTGAAAATGTTTATGATACACAGCGATGCACAGAGTCCAATACTCATATTTCAAAATCACAAAAATGCCCATTTGAAAAATTCCAAATGACAAACAGATCTTAAAAGTCCCGAAAGAATTCAAAGAGCGCCAGTAAAGTCTGATTAGTTGAATCCAGTGTGCCAAATATTTATCGGGAGCCAACCTCACCAGTTTATGTAAGTGCTTAGCATGGTGTTACATGCAGTCAAGCAAATGCACTGACGGTTCTACTAGAAGACCAGTGTGATAATAAATAATAACAAAAGTGGTCTGTAATTGCTGGGTGGCTCAAGTGGTTAAGGCGCTGAACTGCAGGCTGTGGAAGGTCGGTAGTTCAGCAGTTCGAGACCCGAGTTGCTGCATGACGGAGTGAGCTCCCGTCTCTAGTTCCAGCTCCTGCCAACCTAGCAGTTCGAAAGCAAGAAATTGCAAGTAGATAAATAGGTACCACTTCGGTGGGAAGGTAACAGCGTTCCGTGCGCCTTGGTGTTTAGCCATGCCGACCACATGAACACGGAAACATCTTCGGACAGTGCTGGTTCTTCATCTTTGAAATGGAGATGAGCACCGCAACCCTAGAGTCGGACTCGACTGCCTTTCGAGCAAGGGAACCTTTACCTTTTTATAGCAATTAGAGTGTCACGCCTGGAATATGAGCCAGCTGGTCAGTCGTGTTGGTCTGAAGCAGTGGAACAAATTTAGAGTCCAGTGGGGGCACCTTTAAGACCAACGAAGTTTTACTAAAGGTATGACCTTTCATGTGCGCGCACTCTTTTTCAGATAAAGTGTGCCTGGCACACGAAAGCTCATGCCTTGAATAAAACTTTGTTGTTCTTAAAGGTGCCGCTGGACTCTAAGCCTGGATTAATGGAGACTCATGTTTGAATCCCGGTTCTGCCATTGATATCTATCTTGTGATGGCAATCAAAATTATGCTGCTGTATTGGCTAGAGCAGGGGTGTCGAACTCATTTGTTATGAGGGCCGGATCTGACATAAATGAGACCTCTGTTGGGCCGGGCCACGTGTGTCATTAAATGTAATGCCAGGTAGCGGAGATATAAACTTTATA